CTTGAACTTGAGGAGCTTCAGGTAAGAGAGGTACGGGAACACTTTCATTTTCTTGGTTCATATCTGGGTAAATGAACTTCAAATCTGCTTGGCCAGCATCATCTGATTTGACCTTCTCATCACAATGATCAAAGTTCTCTTCAAAGAATTGAATATTTCGACTTACAATAAACTTCTTCTTCTCCAAATCATACAACTTGTAACCCTTAACACCAGGAGGATATCCAACAAAAATTGCTCTGTGGGCCTTAGCATCCAGCTTTCTGCGCTGACTATCTGGAACATGTACATAACTCACACAACCAAAGACTCTCAGATTAGAAATGTCTGGTCTTCTACCAAACAAACGCTGAAATGGAGTTTCGTCTTTCAACGCTGCTGTTGGACTTCGATTGTGAAGGTAAACTGCTGTGCTGCAGGCTTCTGCCCAAAAATCCAGCGGTAATTTGGCTTCGTAGAGCATCAATCTTGCTCCCTCCATTATTGTGCGATTCAATCATTCAGCAACACCATTTTGCTGTGGACAGTATGGAACAGTGAACTCGTGCAAGATTCCCTTGTCTGCACAGAATTTAGTGAACTTGTCAGAAGTGTACTCTCCTCCATTGTCACTTCTGAGGACCTTAACATCTTCCTCTGCGAGAATGTTCAGCTTCATAATCTGATGACCAGAATGTTTCTCAACAGAATTTACATATTCCATGAATTTTGAAAGCACTTCACTCTTGGATTTAATGAAGTAAGCAGTGGTATATCGTGAAAAATCATCTGTGAATGTCAGCATATATTTACTGCCGCCTTTTGATTCCACTTGCATTGGGCCACAAACATCACTGTGTACAATCTCATATGGTCTGGTTGCCCTGTGTTGGCTCTGTTTTGGAAAGGGCTTCTTCTGCATTTTGCCAAGAACACATGCTTCACATTCTTCCTGGGATTGTATGTCAACATCATAGTTCAGGCCATCAACCATTTCTTTCTTCATCAACTGATTCATATAGGTGTAATTGAGATGACCCAACCTGAGGTGCCAAACGGCAGGTGATGGTGCACTATTTGCTGTCGAAACTTGAGCGTACTCGGCAGATAGACTATGTAAAGCTTGTCACGCAATAGACTTCCAATAACAAATTCTTGGCTATTCTTCCGTACTAAACATTTATCCTTGTCAAAGTAAATTTCTGCTCCCATCGATGCCATTGCAGGTACTGAAAGTAAGTTCTTTGGTCAGTTTTGGGACAAACAACACTTGATGCAAGTCAAGGACAATTTCACGGGTTCTGTTTACCGTTGGGAGTTTGACTTTTCCTTCGCCATGTGCAAGAATTACTGTGCTGTCTCCCAGGTAAATACTTTTTGGTTCTTGGTACTGAACATAGTTTTCTAAAATGCTTTTGTTGTTTGTCATGTGCTTTGTCGCTGCTGAGTCAAAAAACCATTCATTTGACTGATTCATCGTGCTTGAGATTAGTGCAACTCCTTCGAGTTCGGCCATATTGGAACTTTCTCTTTTACCAGTGTTCTGTTTGTTGTTGTACGGACAGTTTTTTACAATATGTCCATCCTGGTTGCACTTGAAGCACTTAACACCTCTGTGTTTATCACGATCATCACGGCTGGACTGAGCATTGAAGTTAAAATTCTGAAAACGGCCACCGCGATCGCGACCGCCACCAGCTCCACCACGTGGTTGAAAACTACCGCGGTACGACGATTTTCCTCTACTGACAAAAGTGCATTATCAGATTCTTGTTCCTCGTT